TCTGCTTTTATTTTGATAGTGGGTTAGCTGATTAGCACTTTAATAGATTGTGAACAATAAAACTGAAACACACACAGGAAAATTTACAGGTTACACACAATTATTTACAATAACAGAGACCTTTATCTTGTCTTATTTGCATTTCTAATATAAAACATTACAGTTATAGGGAGCTTAACTCTACGTCTAAAGCATGGGTCTCCAGAAGAATGAAAAAATGAATGCAAGTCAGTGGGGCTCAAAACGCTATTTTCTAATTCCGCTTGTTTTGTGCCATGGATTTGACATATGATGTCCATGAATTTTAAAGACTAATTTTGATACCAAGAACGTGCTTATTTTCAAACAGGGGGAAACATTATTTTAGGTATTGTGTGAAAATAAGTCCAGGGCTACAAATGCACTTCACGAAAGTGACGTCATCGAACCAGACACAGAGAAAACTGAGGGAAAAGGGCTGTAAGTTCAGCAAACTTCCCACAGCAGGAAAGAACCACAATAAAAGTGGTAATCTGGTAAGTAGCAGCTAAGCTAGGGGAGAGGAGATCAGGTGATGATGTCACATATGCGACGTGCAATTTCTGGTATATAGTCAAGCTAATTACAAACTTTTGCAAGCTGATGAATGTCAAAGTACGTGACTGGCGTGGTCGAAACACCATCATAACTTTTCATTTAAACTGCAGTACAACATATGTGTGATCCAGGGCGTAAGGCATAGCGGATTAGAAAATAGCGTGTTTAGCCCCGTTGACTTGCATTCATCGGTCGTTCTTCTGGGGACCCATGAGCCAACGGTAAAGGGAGGAGACCTAGGCTCCCTGTTAGTTTTTTCCACTGATGTCGGAGTTTAACATCCAACATCTGATTTTCCAGAAAGAGCAGGTGAAACATTCATCTTGAGAACAAGTGTGCTGTATAAGTGAATATACCGTAATTTTCGGACTACAGAGCGCACCTCAATATAAGCCGCACCAGGCTAAAAGCTGCAGATATCTACTGCATTGAAAACGTAGTTTAACTGAACGTAACTGAAGTGATCAGTATCAAACAAAACAGAAAAGTTATTGATTAGTTTATTCATCGTCCTCCTGCGCACTGAACCCACTGAAGTCATCGTCTTCAGTGTCGGAGTTGAACAGCCTCAGAAGAGCTTCATCACATACCTTTTGTGTGGCGATGTCAGTGTCGCTCTTCGTGTTGCTGCCATCATCCCGGGGTGAAGCGGGGCCGTTTTACTGTGAAAAAAATCCTCCTGGGTGCTTTCCGTAGCGCTCCTTTAACCATTCCTTCATTAGACTTTCCAGCATCCATCCTTTCTGGTTGACTGAAGCCGCACCTCATTATAAGCCACATGGTTCAAAGCGTGGGAAAAAGTAGCGGCGTATACTCCGGAAAATACGGTAAACCCTCACAGATGGAAGGTGCTTTTCTTTGAGCTGGCCTTGATGATTCTTTGTTGAAAACCCCTCAAACAGAATATCCACGGTCATGTTAAGGTGGTAGAAAGGTCAGCCTTTCAAGCACAGCAGGTCACTCACACATGTTCACAAGGTCAGAGGATGGTTCAGAGCCATCAACATATAAATATTGGACAATGGGTTTCCACAGCCTTCAATAACACGTTTATGAGGAGAAATGGGAGGTGGCCACCACCGCCATTTTGAGACGAGGAGGGGAGTAATAAAAGTGGTGTGTGGATTTAATAATAATAAAGTGCAGTGTTGCTTAAAACCAAGACTTTTATTACAAAAACGGGATATTTACAAGGAACTAAAAAGCGATACTATATACAAAACAAACACAGATATTCAAGAGGAGGAACAAAAAAACGCCAACCCAGAAGGGCATGGGGATAAACAACTGATAATATTAATATTAATATCTAAATAAAAAAGGGGAGATCCTAAATCGAGGTCAAATAGCCGGTCCAAAGTCAAAATACCAAATCGTCTTAACTCGTTTTGGAATTGGGATTTAGGATTATCAACTAGCGAGCAAACCAAATTTTATCAAAGGAAGCGACCGAGGAGAAGAGAGCAGAATAAACTGTTGCCAGTCTATTCTACCCTTGGACCTTCTCAATCACTGTGAGCAAGAGAGCAGCTTTTAACAGCTGTCAAGTGATTGCTGTAATTTACCACAGCTGGGGACCGGGAGCAGGCGATGCAAAGGCCTCTGGGGCCATCTTGTGGCCGAAAAGGGGCACGGTAGGTAACACTAATCCAAAGCTAACGCGGAGGTGGTAGCTAAGCTAACGGAGGTAGCAACCTAGCTACAACCGGAGTTAACTGTGCACAACACCAGAGCTTCTGAGTCAGAGATACGCCGGGCTGACCGCTGGGTAAAACCGGGTGGAACACAGAGGTTTCCAGACCTCCACAAGCCGGCAGCCGCAGAGCAGCGATCTGAGATGCGCAGAGCTGCCGCTGGGAGAACCGGGTGGAAAGGTTTCCATCCCAGAGCTCCACAAGCCGGCAGCCCGCGCAGCAGACAGAAGCCGCGATCAGACAGAGATGCACCGAGCTGCGGGGAGGGGAGAACCGGGTGGAAAACCGAGGTCTCCCGAGAGCTCCACAAGCCAATAGTCGGAACCCAGCTCCACCAACATGTTATATTTCAACCCATTTTCTAAAGTGCAGCATTATGTTAAATGCACTGGGTTTTACCCTATTACATTTAAATTTCATGGTTAAACAGTACATGTTAAAATCTAAGCTCAGCTCGGCAGTGACCTAAAATACATAAATATAATTTTACTTACCGAAAAAAATGAAGTGGAGATTCCTTGGACGCTCTATTAGTGCATTTAATGCCACAGCAAGTCATTTTGTCCAACAATTGCACAAAAATATCCAAAACAGAACACACAAACACAGAGACTCAAAATCCCGGAGCAGTTTCCAGGCCAGACCGAGGCTCTACTGAGGCCTTTCCCCGGAGCTAGCTCTGTGGTCACGTGGGTCTGATGCTCATTAATTATACAGAATTTTAGGCTTTTAATACACTTAAACAGAAGAGTGAGAAAAAAATTCACCCCCCTCAGAGTTGTCATGTGTGTAAACTAGATAATTTAAACCAAAAACATGTTTTGGTACCAGGCTGTAAACATGTTTATTTCTGCTGTGAAATTGGCATTTTTAACATGGGAGTCAATGAGGATTTGCTCGCTTCTGACACCAGCCCCCAGTGGATGAGGGTGGAACTGCAATTTTTGGTACTTCCAGTGTCGGTACCGTATCTGCTCGGGTGCAAAATCGGCTCGGGGTCCTTCGACTACCGATGACGTCAAAGTACGGCAAACCCACTCGGACAAAATACACTACAAATCTATACTGTTGGAAATAATTTAGCAGTTTTGTTATTAAAATAATGTTTCTTAAGACGTAAGTTTGTGTTTATAATGGTATTTGTAAAATAAAACACTATATTTTATTCATAATGTTGAACTGCTCTTTGAGCACATCCCTTGAAGAATCATAGGTATTAGCAACACCTGTGAAATTGAATTTGCAGGAAAGAAGTGTGTCCCGTTTATTGAAGTATTTTGTGTTTAGTTTATGACGTCTTGTCCATGCGTAGTTCAGGTACACTCATAGCTGCTAGTCAAAACTCTGGAGTTAAAAATTTTCTGGCTTTACTAAAATACCTGTCTGTACTTATTTGATTGATGGTAGTTTTACTTTCTATTATGTGTATTATGATTATGTAATCATTTGGCACGTTTCTAATTCATAATTTGTAAGAATGTAATCGGTGATATTAGCATTAGCATTCCTATGGGTTTTTCCATGTATATTAGCATTGCGCTAACCACTCGCTGCCAAATTGCAGCCTTTGCGATTAGAAAATCTCCTTTTGTCACATCGCAATTTAATTGCAGATGCAGTTAATCTTTCAGCCCTAATATACATGCAGCTCTATGCTAAAAGTACATTTTCAAAGAGGTAATGATGGATTTCTTTGTAAAAGTTGTCCATCTTTCCAACAGAAAGATTTGCCTGGACCAACGTAACGTGATAACGTAATGTGATAACAACGTAACGTGATTACGTAATTCTGTAAGGTTCATGTTCAGCCAATCAACTACTTTGACGTCATCGGCAGTCGACGGACCCCGAGCCGATTTTGCACCCGAGCAGATCTTGTACCGACACCGGGATTGCTTCAGTTTTTGAGCCGCATGGTGGGGGCTTGTTCAGAGCAGAGGAACGACGAGTCACACTCCAAGAAACAAACATAAGACACAAGTACAGGTTTAGAGTGAGAGGGCTTATTCAGAATCAGGCCTGGCTCTTTAATTGGGCATGCACTTGATATTTATTATTTTCTTTTCAGCTTTATTGGAAAATCACAGGAACAAAGCTGTATTGGATTAATGCATCCGTTTTCAAGATTCTCATTTACAAAGCTGCAGTTCTGTGTTGATGGAGGATGTGTGGTGATTCTGGGAACATCAGAATCAGCAGGCAGTTATTCTTTTAAGCAGAATTGTATCTAAAAGGTTTGATTTCTTTCTTTTATTGCTTTCCAAGTGTTGCTAAATCAGTCACAGCTAGAAGTCATCAGTCGAGCCATGACTCAGCAGAACGGGTTAAGGACACAATGTAAACTGCCATCTCACAAAATATGACACGGATTAATATGAGGAGCAAATATGAAACCGACTGTTTTAGTCGGTAAAACATTCTCATTTGTAAGTCGCTTTTGATGAAAGTGTCTGCCAAACACAACCAATTTCATTTATCTATCTGCGTTATTTTATCAGGTCATGTTTTTTTGTGACTTTTATTCTGAAATGTTGATGGAAACAAACTAAATAAAATAAACTGTTGTAGTCACAACCCACTCATAGTTTGGCTCACTTGGGAACAGATTTACAGAAGAAAATAATTTATTTTTGTCATCATCTACCTGCATCTTTGTTCTTTAGCTAATGTTTCCTTTTGCAGCAGAAGCTGAGATGGTGACAGTGCTGTTTTTGGTTTCTGCTTTCCCAGATATCGGACCTTTGTTTCTGAAGATGCGGGCCCCAACACACTTGTGGCCACAGTGCTGGCCAAAGACCCTGATGGGGATGGGATCACCTATAAAATCACCACAGGAAACGAGGAGGGCAATTTCGTCATTGACAATCAGAAAGGTAAGATTCATTTAGATAACTTTATTGAAACATCAAACCAGGATTACAACAGGCTGCATCTAGTAAAGGCTTTTGCAAAAGTTTGTGAGTCACAGGGTTTTGTTTTCTAGTTGACTGAAATTTGAACATGTTTGAAGTAATTTGTCACTTTTTTTTTTGACAAAGTCTGCATGGTGGTGCATGTGGTTGGTAATGCAGTTCTGGAGCAAAATGGTTGCAGCTGGTTGAAAACCTGGCAGGGATGTTCCTGTTTAGATGCAGATATTCTGGTTTCCTCATACAGACCAGCACAACGACTTTGTGAGTTAATCCATTGATCAAATTAGGTAAGTTTTTGCTCGAGACACACGGCTGTTGATCCAACTACTGCTGCAGATGGGCACCAGCTGCCTGTGATCCTGAACTGGATCCAGTGGGCAAAAAAAAAATCGATTTTTTAAAGAATAATCAAATCAGTCAAACTTTATTTGTATAGCACTTTTCATACAGAAGAAAATGCAGCTCGAACTGCTTAACAGATTAAAATGACCCAATATAACCCATATTCCCATCCCTTCCCCACAAATATAAAAACAATTGTGACAGTTACACCCCTCATCCCACACACACACACACACACACACACACACACACACACACACCTACAAAACAGCATAAGTAAAGACTAGGCTGAGTTCAGATGGGCTAGGTAATGAATGACACACCATCAGGGGAGTCATCTGCCTCGGCAGTAGTTGATTGATGGCAGCAGCCCAGGCACCAACCCAGGGCGCCCAGGGAGGGAGGGTGGAAACTCCCACCACCGCCTAAGCACACCCCTAGGAGCACCCAGGCCGCCACAGTCAACCACCACCCCCGAGGCAGAGGGCCCCGCAGTGGAACCACTAGTATGATTAAAATAGGTAAAATGAAAATAAATAAATAAAACATACATGTCTAATGCCACTAAAATTAAAATAATAAAATAAATAAGTTAATTAATAAAACAGGAAATGCAGCTACAAACAGATATCAGTTAAAGGCTAAGCTGAAAAGATAAATCTTGAGCCTGCTCTTAAAAACATGCACATTCTCTACGAACCTGAGGTCCTCCGGTAGACTGTTCCAGAGATGAGGGCCATAAAATTGGAAGGACGCCCCACCATGGGTATGTGTTCTGACTTTTGGAATTACAAGGAGACGGCTGCCAGAGGAGCGCAGAGGCCACAAGGGCTTGCATGGTAAAAGCAGTTCCGAAAGACAAGAAGGCCCACGACCATGAAGACACTCAAAAACCAATAAGAGAACCTTAAAATCGATCCTGAAACATACGGGGAGCCAATGCAGTGCTTCTAAAACTGGTGTAATGTGCTCCCGCCTCCTGGTCTTCATCAGGACATGTGTTGCTGAGTTTTGTAAAAGTTCTAAGCCTGAAATGCTCTTTTTGTCAGAGTCATCAATGCCTTCTGGACCCTGTCTCAAACTTTTCTCATTTTACTTTATTTGATTCAGTTAGATATGTGAGACAACTTTGAGAGCAGTTTGTGACCAGTGAAAAAGTTGTGACTGACTAGATGTGTTAATAAATAAATAAATAAATAACCTGTTCAGCTCCCGTATGCCCGGTGTCAGAGCGTGGTCTGCATTGGGCTGTTTCCTAGTGAGAGTTAGACTCCACCAAAGCTTGTCTTTGCATATGCCCATTGTAAAGCTCGATCATCCGGAAGGATCCTGGAGTAGACCTGCTGCTCCTCCACATAGAGAGGAGCCAGTTGAGGTGGCTCAGGGAACTAATCAGGGCGCCTCCCTGGTGAGGTTTCTGGGCACATCCCACCAGGAGGAGGCCTAACGTTTGACCCAGGACACGATGGAGAGACTATAACTCTCAGCTGGCTAGGGAATGCCTTGGGACTCTCTCGGAAGAGCTGGCCCAAGTAGCTGGGGAGAGGGAAGCCTGGGCCTCTCTGCTTAGGCTGCTGCCCCATGACCTAACTGTGGACGAAGAAGAAAAGTGGAAGAAAATGGATGGATAAATAAATAAACAACAACCAACATTCTGACCATGGAGCAGGTGTCACAGTAATAAGCTGTTGCAACAAAAATGAGGACACAATGAAAACCGCCCGATATATTTAGGACAGTTTGAGATTCAATTTTAATACAATTAGAAAATTCTTAGAAGCGTCATAATCTCTTTGTATTTTCAGTGGCCACTAAAATGTCACAAGTACAAATCCAGAATACCTCAAAGTGAAAACGTGCATGGTTTGTATTAGTACTGGATTAGGATTTCAGTCGTTTTTTTCTTTTAGCATATTAATAAAACTGTGTGGAGATCAAAGTCACTGTCCATAGCCAATGTTTAAAATAAACCAATAGTTAGTCGTGTTTTTGGTGTCCATGGTGTAGTTTTTGCATCCGTCACCCTTCTGCTGATGACAATGACTTGATAGTTTTTCTCTCACATCACATCACTCTGTGAAAGATATGCAGATCCTGACAGGTGATGTCATGAAACCGTCGGAATATAAGCCAAGGTGTGGAGCCTGTTCCCTCTAAGCCTCAGTAACACAAAGCCCTCTGTGGTTTATAGTCTCACATGTCAGCTTCCTCTGAGGTGGGGGCAGCAGAAGCCACATGAAATAGGAGGCTGGGTTAATGGTGCAGCATGCGTTTCACTGCGTCTGTCATCGCTTATGGTTGCAATTTCATAGCTGTTCGACCTCTTTGTAGATTGCAATCTGAATATCACATTATAGAGTAAAATGATGACTTTTATAAATTCAATTTCTCAAACTTCAAGGCACAATTTTCTCTGTCTGTGATGTTCACTGTTAAATGATAGCAGCAATGATTTTATACCGGAGAGGTACGTCTTGCAGGTGCTCACCGACACCAGAGGCTCGTGTCTTCCCTAAAGGTTTGACAGAATCACCTTTTTTGTTATTAGTTTACAATATTATCTTAATAGAAGATTTTTTTAAAAATCAAGGTGACTTTACGAGGGGGCATAACCAATGAAAGGGGTGAGAGTTTTTTTGGCCATTTTTTTATTTTTTTAAGCTAGCTTGTTTAGTAGATTTTCCAGTGCAGCTCTAAAACCCTCTTACACGATAGTATGATTTTGTTATTTTAGATCTTTGAATGAGATCACATTCAAAATTTAGTCTCACTTAAATGGCAGATTTGTAATTGTTATCTTTTCTATCATTAGGTGGAAATCTGGATCCAGTATTCTCCAGCAGCTCTAGGGTTAGAAAAAAAACACCTAAAACTGTTTCTGTTTGAGAAATACTTCCTGTCAGTGCTCTTTGTTCCTCCTTGGTGAATGTTTCTGTTCAACATTTATAGACTTTCTCACTTAGGGAATCTACGATGGTCCGTTGGGTCCCAGTCTGCTCTTTGTGGTGCCACTCATCCTTTCTGTATGAATGCAGGTACCGCGCCTTCCCAGTGCTGTTGTGTGTGAGATGTTGCTCTATATTTTTGGACAATGAAAATGAAATATTTAGCTTGCTAATTACATATTTAGTTGGGGACATCAACATTTATAATTGTATGTATAACATTGGGCAAATATGGAATTGAAAAGTGAACTCCCGTTTTCAGTTTTTTTATGTTTGTTTTGTTTAGTTTTTTTCTTTGGGAGAAAATCTTCCACAGCTCATCCTCACTGCAGCCACAGAGAAGACAGATCTTGTATTGGTGCAGAACTGATGCACAATGTGCTCTAAACTGGGGTTAAAACATTTCTTTTGGAAACATTGACTTGTTTATTTTCAATAAATTTAGTCTTTATGCTCTCAAGTAGCATTCAAAGGCACCAGTTATGTGGTAAATCAGGAACAATCACTGAGATGTTCCCAGATACAGATGTACAGAGCAGTACCCAACAGTTCGCTGCACTGAAATGTGTGAACCCGTGTGAGACATCATAATACTTGTAATATGATCCAATATCGTGTCTCAAAGAGCCCAATATTTGGCCATTAAAAGTATTTTATGATTCTTATAATGGAAGGTGAGCACGCTGAATTCCTCCCACCTTCTCCATCCCATCTCATTCTCTGTGTTACTGATTAAAATCGTTCATTGCCTCTAATCTCTACTTGTTGCTGCCTCCCCCTCTCTGCATATACTAAATGTCTGACTTTCATTCAAGTGATTGTTTTCAGCCTGTCTGGCAGGCGCAGCCTCGCTGGCCTTCCTCTCCAAGTTAATTTGTCTGTAACTCACCCCAGAATACAGTCCCTGAGATTTAAGGCACCCATTACAATCTGAGAGGTCCAGTCAATATGATTCCTATAAAAACACATAAATACACAAGCAGACTTTGTTAGATCAAATGAAGTGTTTACTGATTACTACAAAAGTGCTGGTGCCAATAGAGTCATTCCCATCATTTATACATTTTGGGGATTTTGAAACATTTACTGGAAAGTATTCGGTTGGTCACTTTTCTGATGTTTCTCTCATTCGGGTGATTCTTAAATGGTGTTTAGCATCATTACGTCCAGGATGAAATTGTTTAGGTTGCTTGATGGAGCAAAATCATTTCATGGATATTAGTAATTTAAACTAGATGTAACTCATCACTTAGTTACTGAAAGCAAGGTGATGAGTAGTTAAATCATTGAAGTGTTTAAACATTCAAAGCGTGACATTCATGCTAGTTCAGAGACTTTAGGGATGCCTGGAGCCGAGATGATGGGTAACCATGGCAACAACATTTAGAACACTATTTGAAATGAAAAAAAAAACAATCATCAATGATGTAGACATGTGTCAAACTCAGGCCCTCGCGGTGTATTTGTATTTGGCCTGCGGGATCATACATCAAATGTGTAGAACTGTCCCACCAGTGCAGACTGCACTAGTACTCCAGATCTAAGAATGCTTTGCTATGTTAGCACATCACTTGAGACCACATAGCGCATCCTCCTTTTCTATCAACAGATATTGGCATCCATGCTACTAGTCTGACAAATAAACAATACAAATTCTGCCTTACTCAGGTCCAA